TCACAAACATCTGCTGGCCTAGTACTAAAACAACGGTTATAGAGTCATTCAGATTGACTACCTTCTAGTCAGTTTAAAGTTACGCAGCTGAGTTCATGAAAGCAGATCGCTACGTGGTGCCAAGAGTGGAAAGACCCATGGGTCAGACCATGTCCTCGCTTGTACGCCCATTAAAATTTACTTCTCGTCTGCCCCCAAAAGGCCATGTCTACGGACGCCCCTATCTCGCCGAAATTCAGCCTTTCAGCATTTTAAAAGCCGTAAGCAGAGAAATCCGGTCATATTTTACAATTCGAGCTGACGGAGAAGGGTAGACAATGGTCATCACCAAAGATACCAGTGTATGGGGCAGCAGAAAAAATGTTGGATATACCTAGCAACGCCGCAGGTTAGAAAAAACCTTGCGGTTGTCTGCTCAGACAGCTTGAGCCAAGTCCCGTTGTAATGATTCCTTCTGCCAATTCAGATAGATGATGGCGAAGTCTGCGATGATCGGAATATATATCGGACTGAAACAGTGACCGTGGAACAGGCTTAAATCCTTAGTGATACTCAAAAATTACGAAATTATCCACCAAGATATTGGTAAACCCTCTGCACTGTGCGACCTTGTTCTGGGCGTGAATAGCGACCATATTACTTACTTACTTATGTGTACTTGTTACGGCTGCGATCATGACTGATCTAGTCGGCCTCAAGCAGCCATATTACTGAAAACTCGACTAAGGCCGAGCGCTGGCTTGAGCACCCCGAGCACATTCTCATCTTCGATGCCCCATCGTTCCCATCTGCAGCGAAGTCTCCTCCCTTTCAAACCTGCACATTGTCATGCGACCTCCCTTCTGAAAAAGTCGCTGATGCCATATAAAGGCTCTACAATAGCAAAGGGCTGAAATATGTAAGTCTTGTCTCGAAATTCTAGCTCCCTAGCTCCATGAAGCGATTGAACAAGCCTTGAGGGAGGAGGTCGTTCCTGAAGGCTTAGACTCAGACATCGTTGTACTTGTTCTCACGAAGGAAAATAGAATGTGTTGTGAGAACTACCCTGGCATAAGCGTCCTTGTAGTTGCTACGAGGATCTTCGCTATTGTCTTTCTGAAGTTCTTCCAGGTTCCGTTTGACTCTAGACCGGGGTCCAACCAAGCCAGATTCCGTATTGGACATGAATATACAGAAGTAATCACGCTGAAGTGCATTATTGAATTACACCATAGTCACCAACAACCTACGAACGTCTGGTTTGTTAACTTTGTCGTCACGTTCGATTCCGTCCACCGGGTGTCTGCGGCGGATAATGGCACTAGATGGTGTACCGCCAAAAAGCAGGACCGCGAATGATCAGGACCCATTACCGCTCCACCACTGCGCGAGTGCGGGTCGATAATAGTCCTAACCGTTTCGGTCTGGCGTCCGACGCGATTGTATCCTATTGCCCATTCTGTTCAACAAGGCCATTGGCTAGATTCTCGGGGAGGCCCCCTACATGAAGATGATAGTCTTGAGTTTGCATCCGGACGCTGGCTGACTGATCATCACTATACCTTACTAGCTTCAAGCCTCGGTGATCTGCAGTTGATGGTGTCATGGGCGGATAAGGCCGCTAAACCAGTCTGTTTATTCAGAAACGCCAGGAAGGCCAAAGTGTTTTCAAGCCACAACCCTGACCAGGAAAAGTCAATCTGAAGAAGCCAATTTTCCTCCTTGCGAGGCTGCTGCCAAATAGACAGAGTAAAGACGATATTGTTGCCTAAATAAATGCTGCTCGTTGGTGTTTCTCAATCCTTCCACAGCGTCTCTATATCTGACGTATGTTTCCACGAAGATTCGCGTGTACTATGCACCTATCCTGTCGGTCCTTTACTATTATTGTGAATACTGGACGGTGCGCTTGGAAAATAAGCGAACACTGGAAGTTATGTCCTATATGGCATTAAAAAAACAAACTGGTTGCTCGGAACATTCTTATGTCTTCCTCTGAGGTGCTTTAAACGCATTTATTCCAAGCCCCTGCCACGCCTTTTTTGTCTGTATTTACCTTGTTTTTTTTTGCCAGCTCGACCTGCAAGCATGTTGCGAAGGCTGTCTTGTGCCTCGCAGTCCTACGACTGGGGCAAGGTCGGGGCCGCCAGTGTGGTCTGCCAACTCAAGTCCGCCTCCTCGCCTGCCTTCCCCTGTGACCCCTCAAAACCCTACGCTGAGGTATCTCATTTGCCTTTTTCACTCTTTTCCTAGTCCTCTCGTGTCTGGCTTCTTTTCGTAGTAGGACTGTCTTTTTGGAGATCCTGTTTGCCTTTGACTAATAACCTACTTTTACATTTTGCAGTAGTCCGACTTTGCCTTTTTTGTTGAATTTCGCCAATGTAACGTCGAATTGTCACTTTTTCGTTAAATTCCGCCAATATAAGGTCGAATAAACTGGAAGGCAGGCATCCCCGAGAAATGTTATTTTAGGGAAAGGCGTCGCAATGCGGATTTTTTTTACCAAACCGGTGTCCAGTCCGCCATGAGAGTATTACCACAGGATGTTTCACAGTTGCTTGTTCATCAGACCCGTGGGACTGTCT